GCTCGTCATGAAATGTGGGGGAGGCCAGGCTGTTTGAGAAAAGGGTAGTTTGGTTGACTTGGTACAAAGACTGTGGTGCCAGAGTTGCGTTCTCAAAATTTTACTACTCGAACTTTCTGTGTTAAAAAAATCTTGGAACAACATATTTCCTCGATTGGATGCCGAGTTTTTGGGCGCAGGTCACACCCAGCCCAATTCTTCGGCGCAGCAGATAAAGCTGCGGCTCTGCCGGTCGTTGCGCACGGAGATGAAGGGCAGGGCAAAAGGGAACGCTCCGTCCTGGTGTTATCCTGGTGTTGCCTGGGAGTTCGCACGCCGGATGTTCTCCATTACAAATTTCCTTTCGCCGACGCTTGCCTGCCAGATTGGACTTTTCAACCCTAAACCTTCAACCTCAAACCTAAACCCTAAATTGATTTCATGTTTTTGACTGTAGTCCATGCCCCTAAATATTACTCCGCCTGCGCCTAAAGCCCTATACAAACCCGTAGACCCAAAGAATTGACCCCTGTTCAGGTGATACGATCTATTCATTTTGCGATTGATTGATCGTGCTGGACGCAACATCACACTGCAGACCTTCCAGGAAGCTTTGGTGCGTGATCTCCAGCGATGCGCAGTGCCAAATGGCGGTGTTTTGCCATCCAACTGGACCCTCCATTACTGCTGTGGAAGGGGTGCTGGAAGTGGAAAGCGGAGTGGCTCATGGAGACGAGAACGTATATGAATTTGAAGCGTCGTGCTGAAGGGGAAGGCTTCTGCAGAAGGTGCAATTGCAGCAGCGACCTCGGCAACCACTGGTTGGATGTCAAGCAACTGTCTTTTCACAAGCCAGAGCAGACGGAGCGTATTCTTGAATCTTGCTTTCCAGCCGATCTGCCGCTGCGAGCTCTACCAGGCTATCACGTGGACATGGAACAAGCAGATCTTCTACATGCCCTTTATCTGGGAGCAGGAAAGGATTGCGTGGGGTCAGTTATGCTCGATGTTGTCCAGTATGATCAGAGATTCGCAGAAATTCCTTCGCTGGAAGAAGGCCTGCAAGCTTTGTGCTCTCTTTTCCACTCGTGGGCAGAAGAGAACGGC